CCAGGGGGCGGAGCTACCCATATGACCCTCGACAGGTCACCAAAACTCGTTAAGTGGCCCTCCAGCCAAAATAATTGCCTACCCCTGCCTTACGGGTATTTGCATGGCTCCATCCCTTCCTACACCATGCCCCATGCCTCGCAGATTTTGAGTCACCAGTCAGGTAGAATACATGTCCCTTTGTCTCCAGGCCACTCCAGGACTTCCTTTTTTTGTTGGGACTTTAGTCTTCCCAGCTTCCACTCCTCTACTTTGGCTGGTCCCATAGGCCAGGCCCACTGCTCCACTCAGCCATGAACCTGCCCCAGCAGGGCCCAAGACAATCACATGCCCCTAGGACAGTAATGGGACCTCTGTATACTGCCCCTTAGTCCCAACCCAAACCACCAGTCTTAACATAAAAATGAAGGCCACTTATGTGCTTAACAAGTGTCCCTCTCACTTTTCTTTTCCCTTTCCCTCTCCCTTTCTCTCTTTCTCTGGGTAGCTCTTTCTTGTTCCCAGATCTGCCATGCTGCTGTCAGGAGTTCCACACTCTGTGACTCTCAGAGCTGGCTTCCTTGACTGGCTTGATCCCAAGGCTTATGTAGCTCTGTTCTGAGCCCTCTTTTGGTCACGTGAGGCCCCAGTCAGCTGACCTGACAACAGGACTGCCCTTTAACCCCTGCTCTGCTGGCTGTCCATGATATAAAGACTTTGCCCTTAAAGGGCTACACCGCTCTCCAGTAATAGCGCCAGCGTTCCCTGTTACAGTCCCTTAGTGCTCAGACTGTAGATGGCTTTGGTGGGGGGAAGAAGCTGTGCAAATCATGGATGTCAGCCAGATGTTGAATCTCCTTAGCCTTGTCTTCCCACCATTTGTTCTTCATATCACATGTCTGCCTTTGAACCTCTGCCTTGGCTTGTTGGAGATTCAATTTCTTTTGCTTGGAGATGGTGTCATTTTGCCAGCCACAAAAGGCCTTGCACTTGCGATTGATCAGCTCTTGGATGTCCCAGTCGTTCTCATCAAACTATTCTTGATATTTCCTGGTAGAGAATCAAAGTGTCTCTTCACGAGCACTGATGACGGTGGCCTTGAGAGCACCCCACATGCTGTTGGCATTTTCCCATTGTTGTTGATTGGAATACACCAGTTTTTCATTGAGGCAATGGTGGAAGAGTTTTCGCTTGCTTGGCTCCTTGGCTCCTTCAACATTGATCTTCTGTTGGCATTGCTTTTGCTACAGCCATGTTTTGGGAGCCAGTTTGGATGACATCACTGAGCAGCTGGGTCAGTGATCAGTCCAGTGATCATCAGCTCCCAGCATAGCTTAGGTGATGAGGACATCTTTGCAATCCTGGGCACGGATGCCAACATAGTCAGGTGCCAATGCTTACATCATGAGTGTTGCCGTGACATTCTGTGCCCGTTTCTGTGGTGGAGCAGGGTGTTGGTGAGTCCATGTTCCACGCATTTGGTCAAGAGGAGGATACCAATGGGTTGACCTTTCCTACTCCTTCCTTGCCAGTGATTCCATTCCAAAGGTTGTTGGCTACAAAGGACCAACTCACGGGATCATAATAAATTCTAATTTATTGTACGGGATGTGAAGTTACCAATAAAATCATAAATGTAAACTTTCAGTTATGAGGGGTACTGACCACCTTAACACTCACTCACTCACTCACTCACTCACTCACAGACACAACTGCTGCAATAGTAGTGTAGCACCGATGTTGGTTTATACCTGTCCGGGGCACTGGAGTCTGTTGTCGATGGTCAGCTTCCTCCAGGGCGATATCTTCTCCAGAAGGGGTTCGTCTGCTTGTCGTTCTGTCTCAGTAGGTCGAGTGCTGGATGAGAGGGCACCACTGAGGGTCATGTTCACTGCCTTTTATCCCTTTCTGGCAGACTTGTGTGATCCCCCCAGCATCATGGTTGCTCAATCCAGAGGTCGCTGTCCCACGTGGGTCTTGAGTAGTGCATGACAGCTGTCAGTCACAGTCACTGGGGTTCTACCTGATGGTGCAGTTTCGGAAATCCACCCTTCACTTACGGACTTAATGGCTGTATTGTCATGGGTTACAGTCAATAAGGTGCATGCTTAGTTCCAGGAATTAGTCTCCAGTGATCAGCTCAAACTGAATACCTTCTTCCTGCTAGTCTGTGATCAGAGCTGTTAACTGCTGCTCGTTAACTTGTAACCACAGCTGATTCTACCTCTTACTTAATCATTCACTCAGATTTGCTCCCATTCATTCAAGAAACCAGCCCCAATGCAGCAATGCAATTCCAGTGATTACAATTCCAATGCATTCTTACAATAATAGTTCTAGTAATACAAGGTATGACTTTAAAGAAAACTACATTTGTTAAAAGGTATAAAATATAAAATAAAGACTACCAGGGTAAAGATGAGACAGATGAAATATACCTTAATCAATAACTGCAAATGGGCGGTAGTGAGGATCAGACACTAGGGACAGTGAGTTAGGTTAGCTGTAGTAGACTGATTTAGCTTAAACTTTAGACAGATATGGGAAGTTTTTGTTGGGAAATAGGTTTTAATCAAAGGGGGAATGTGTTCACCAGGATATATTTACAGTCATGTTTTCACTGCACCTTGGCTTGTCTTGTCTCTTACGGGCTTTGCTTTTAAGTGGATATATTAGTTCTTTTGTTTTCTTTAGTGACACTTAGCTCAACTGATATGTAGATGTAGTTTGTAGGTTTCTCCTACAGAAAGTGTCCTACACATCGGCTCTCTGGCTTGCTCTGAGCCTTGCCACACCCATGCAGTGCTAGGTCTCTGCCAGTACTTAGAAGGAAAAAGAAATGCACAAAATGGGGTGTAGGCAAGAAGGGGCTTCTTGTTACAAGGTTAGAGTCCCTTCCAACTCTGTCACTGAGAAAAATAGGTCTGTTTCCCTCCGGAATGTCAAAAGAAGTTGGTCATGGTTGGCGTAGAATTCCTCCTTGGTTTCATTGGTGGTGTCAAGAGTCAGGGCATACACACTGATGATAGAGGCATATTGGCTCCCTGCCAGTTTAAGATGGAGAGTAATGAGGCACTCATTAATTCCAATAGGGAACTCATTGATTTGGTTTATGAGCTCACTCTTAATGGCAAAACTAACTTAGTGAAGTGGGTATTCTCCTTCCCGTTTACCCTTCCAAAAGAAGGTATAGCTGCCTCCATGGTCTTTGAGCTCTTGCCCATCTCCTGCTCACTGGGTCTTGCTCAGGGCAGCTACATCAATTTTTGTGTCGCCTGAGTTGTTGGGCCATGATTGCAGTATAGTGCTCTAGGCATTCACTATTAGCATTGTCCATGAGGATCCTGATTGTCCAGGTCCTGAAAATAATGGTGTCTTCACTGGTATTTTCGACCGCAGTAAAGATGATCCCACTGGACATGGTTATCTAGTCAGGAAGAAATACAAAATTTGACAGGCAATGGTTAGGGCACCTTTTCTAGTCCCCTACCCATATGGGGTGAGCAGAGAGGATCCTGAAGAGAGCTGCTCAGTCACAGTTATAATGATAGCTGCTGCACTCCTGTCTCATCAAAGTGCTAGATGACTTTCTTGTAACTTGCCTTTATGCGAGTACATGACTAGGAGCTTCCAGACCTCACAATCCTGCTCCCATCACCATTAGCTGGTCACTAAAAGTCTTGAGGAATGTGTTGGCCTGGAAGATGCCTGTGCATGACTTTTTTTATTGTGGAGAAGCTGCTGCACATGAGCTTCCAGATGGCTTTTGACAGAAAGGGACCTTGATCCAATGGCAAAGAGACCAAGACAACTGGGGATCTCATTCTGCTGCAGCCTTTATCTGCCTTCTCAGCTCTTGAGATTCTAACATCTTTTTCCGCCTGCTGTGCCACTGAGGACTTGTAGACCCATAGCTGGGGATTGGGCAGGTTTATTATACTGACAACCTGTACTCATCATGTCACAGCACCATCAAAAGATATATGTAGCTTTTCAGGAAGAAAACCATTGCCACCTGCTGTCTTTGCCACATCCTGATGGTGCTCCTGCTGCTTGGTCTGCAACTGCTAATTCGTCAGAGTTACCCCTGCTTATTTCACAGCTAACCTTCCTTGAAGGTCATTCCACTATCCACCACCTGTGGATGTGCTGTGTAGCAGCACAACTCTGCCCCACAGGTTCCTATCAGTATGTTTGTCCGGTGTGGGCCATGTGTTTTATGCTCAGTGTTGTCTGCATTTAATCAGCTTCATAGTTGATTTCCATTACTGAGCACATGCTGCTTTTGGCAGCGATTTAATGATGGACAATATGTTTAATGAGCTTTTCTTGTATGCAAATGTAAGAGGGAGAACTTTTTTCCCCATGCTAATTAGGGAAAACCCCCTCTGTTTATATTCAAGTAAATACAGTACATAAGAAGACTTATTTCTGGGATAAAGCTTTACTGTCAGAAGAAAATTAGAAAAAAATTTTGGTGAACGTGAAATAAATGTTCCGAGAGCCATTTGTTTATGGGTTATGGATAGACACTATTGTCACAGTATTGTCAGCCAGCAATAAATACTGCTGTTTGTAGTTCAGTCTCTAAGATTTTTCCAAGACATTCTTTGATTCACTAAATGTTCCTGGGGCACCTGATGCCAGGCACTAGGAAGACTGATGCTTACCTAGAGGCTTCATTGTTTTTTCTTATGTTCTTTACAAAAGACAGTTAAAAAAATGCTTAATCTATATCCATTTTAAAAATAAAATATAGGTACTGTACTGTAGAAAGGAATATGTGTTTGCCCTATGCTTAAATGTGACACAAACTTTTAGTTGTAGTTGTAATATTATAATGTCCCCTGAGTCATATGTTTGGGGCACGAGGATTTACAATAGTGTAATGATTCTATCATTACAGTGAATCTGTCATTACCTTTTTATCCTTTTTATATGATGTAATTATGATTCTTTTCTCATTTCACAGTTTATGTTACAAATGGAAAAGGATTTCATTTGAATTTTGTTATCCACAGATAAACCATGTCTGCTCCAGCTGATGAAACTGCAGGAGACCTACCTGTGAGAGATGTAGATTTAAATCTAGCTGGAATCGAAGGATTACAAGGTTTGCACCAGCTGTTGTATATTACAGCTACAAACTTTCATCAGTGGCTTCTTTAGGTTCCTTCTAAAAAAGGTTTCTGGAATTCTTGTATACAAAATCTAAGTTCATATAGCATTAATTATTTGTGTTAAATTCAAAAAATAAGAGAAAATATAGAGTTCTATTCTTTGTCGATATTGTTACCGATAGAGGAATTACAAGATTCTGAGCACCTGAAAATCCCACTGATTAATTTTCTACATACATTGAAAACATTTTTTTCACTAACTTCAGTAGGAGTAAGACAAGGCACACTGAACTAAACAGGAACTGGAAATACTTGGCTTTTTTTTTAGAATTGGACCAGCATACATGCAACAGTCTACTCATTTGCTATACAGGAGTGAATTTACTGGGTTTCATTAAATTAATAATTTTTGTCTAGTTATTTGAAAAGATCGTTGTTTCTTTATGAAAGGAAAAGAATACAGGAACTGGGACATCTCCCCCCACTGGGATTCAGGATGGACTCAGGGGAGACTCAGCCAGGGAGGACTGAGTTAGGGAACTTCTGGAGGGGCTGGACGTGTCCAAATCAGCAGGTCCAGACGCTCTCCACCCCAGCGTGCTGAGAGAATTGGCAGGGGTCATCGCAGGGCCCCTGGCACAGCTTTACGAGCACTCATGGTGCTCTGGCCAGGTGCCAGAAGACTGGAAGAAGGCCAGTGTGGTCCCCATTTTCAAAAAAGGGAGGACCCCGGCAACTATAGGCGCACTAGTCTTATTTCGGTCCCTGGGAAGCTCTTTGAGAAAATTATCCAGGAGCACTTCTATGCGGGACCAGCCGTGGGGATGATGCTCAAGGGCAATGAGGATGGGTTCATTAGGGGCAGGTCCTGTCAGACCAACCTGATAGCCTTCTATGATCAGGTCACAAAACATTGGACACAGGTGTTGCAGTAGATGTAGTCTTTCTGGACTTCAGGAAGGCCTTTAACACTCTCTCCCACCACATTCTCATTAAAAAGCTAGGTGACTGTGGCATTGATGCCTACATAGTCAGATGGGTCACAAATTGGCTAGCGGGCCGCACCCAGAGAGTGGTGGTAGATGGATCATATTTGATTTGGAGGGATGTGGGCAATGGAGTACCCCAGGGCTCTGTCCTCGGGCCCATACTGTTCAATTCCTTATTAGCGGCTTGGACAAGGGGAAGAAAAGCGCTCTGTTCAAATTTGCCGATGATGTTGCCCTGTGGGGTCAGGCCAACTCTCAGGATCTCAATATTGCGCTGTTAGACAGGAGGGTGTGACACAATTGCACATATACAAACACACAAATCAGTTTGATATACACACACACACACACACACTACCAGCTCAGGCACATACACATCCAAACCAGCCTAGGCACATGCATACCTATCATCAATTCAAGCACATACTCTATACACCCCAAAAGTTAGACACCGATCACTAATTTGTATATCATGCACACAATGACATATATATACATACACACACACACACACTCCACCTATACATACACACAGGTAAGTTCCTAACTTGGATGGTATGGTATGTGTGTGTGTGCTTGGGGTACCTGGGATACTTGGGGAAAGGTTCAGGTGAGAGAGAGAGAGAGAGAGAGTTAAAGTGTAGGGAGTGAAAGTTGCCAGAACCAGGATTAGAACCGGTGGACTACAGAGAAGCTGGCTGAGGAACTGAGGCTTGGGTTTACTGAAGGTAGACTGGGGCTGGAAACTGAGGCAGACAGTTGAGATTTGGCGGGGGGCAGATAAGTGGTGGCAAGGAGGAGACAGCCAGGAAAGAAACTGAGGCAGAAACCTGGTTGCTCAGGGGAAAAGGAAAAGGCAGCAGGGATAAGGCAGTGGCAAAAAAACGGGGTTTGGAGGCAGAGAGGAGCTCAGGACAGGTGTTGGAGGTGGCAGTGAGCCAGAAGCATGAGAGGGAGAAATAAGACAAAAGTTAGAGGGGCGAGGAGCAGGGATTGGAGCAGGGCCAAACCATAGTAAAGCAAAACCCAACTTAGGGGTCCAAATAACAGTTTTATTAGACAGACAACACAGTACCCAGCCCCATGAAGTTATTGGTTCACACGCACTCACAATGGCAGCAGGAGAAAGAGACCCTGGAAGGGTTGGAGTCCAGGTAGGGAAGAGAAGCAGAGTCCAAGTCCTTGATTGAAGAGAGGGTGGGGGGTGATAGCTACCTATCCAGGCTGGAAAGGGGTCCTTGTCCAGTAGGTGTTGTCCAGAGGGGGATCACCAGCAGGGCCTCTGGGTAGATAGGTGGTGTGGCATGGTGCTGGTCCAGATGGAGAGGACATCCCACTGGGTCTGTCTTCACTGCCCCTTTTTATAGGGGCAGACCTTGTGTGACCCTAGTGACAGGAGACATGCCCAGGCAAGGGTCAGCCCCTGGCGTACTGAGCACGTGTGCTCCATGCAGGGATATGCAGTTTTGGGTGTCTGTAATGGTGGGGTACAATGGTAGAGTTGCTGGTTCTGCAGGGTCTTTTGTCTTTCAAATGCTGGGTTCTTGTCTCCGTTCCTGGGTGAGGTCCGTGGTTCCTGGATGAATCAATGAGAAGTGATGTCCTGGTCGTTACAAGCCATTCAGTAGAGGCCTGCTACCATTGTATTTCAGTCATTCCCAATCACTCTCATTCATCCGGGAACCAATTTACATGGGAGGGGTACATGAATCATACAGTTGCAACACAGGGGATGCCTGGGCAAAGGACACAAGATGCAGGCTTGACATACAAAATGGAAACTTGACATGACTTATGCTAACTTACATATATAGGCCTAAAACAGTAATCACACAATATAAAAGCAGTACAAACATAATAATTATCACTTATAAAACAGTGGGTATCAATATAAAAAAAGCAGGGAACTTATTTGCAAAGAGGGGAGAGAAAAATAAAACTTACTACCTAAAATAAAATGTTAAAACTTATCCTACATCTTAGCTTACTTACACTTACCTATAGGGAATAGAGAGGGAGAGAAAAAGTCAGAAATGGTTGGGGAAGGGGAGGTAATGCATTTTAAAATACATTTTAAAAAAAGAAAAACGGGGTTTTGCTACAACGACACCAAGATTTGGGACGAGGTGGGCACGCTAGAAGGGAGAGACAGGGTACACCTGGACCTGGACAGGTTACAGGGGTGGGTGAATGTAGCTAGGTTGGGATTCAATAGTGACAAGTGCAGGGTGCTGCACTTGGGCGGAAAGAACCAGGAGCATACTTATAGGGTTGGGAATTCCTTCTCAAAAGCACAGTGGCAGAAAGAGATCTTGGAGTCATTATCAATTCTACGTGGGCTGCCAACGTGAGGACGCGGTCAATAAAGCTAACCGCACCTTGTCATGTATCCAGAGATGCATCGTGAGCAGGTCCAAGAAGGTGATCCTCCCCCTCTCTACGACACTGGTCAGGCCACAGTTGGAGTACTGCGTCTAGTTCTGGGCACCGCACTTCAGGAGGGATGTGGCCAGCATCAAGAGGGGCCAAAGAAGGGCCACTTGCATGATCAGGGGCACCAGGGCAGACCCTACAAAGAGAGGCTACGGGACTTGAACCTGATCAGCCTTCATAAGAGAAGGCTGAGAGGGGACCTGGTAGCTGTCTATAAACTTACCAGGGGGGACCAGAGGGTAATGGGTGAAACTCCGTTCCCGCGAGCACCTCCTGGAGTAACAAGGAATAATGGCCACAAGTTGATCGAGAGTAGGTTCAGGTTAGACATCAGGAGGCACTACTTCACAGTCAGGGCAGCCAGGGTCTGGAACCAGCTTCCAAGGGAAGTGGTGCTGGCTCCTACCTTGGAGGTCTTTAAAAGGAGGCTTGATAATTACCTAGCTGGTGTCATATGAGCTTAAACTTACCAGGGGTCATATGAGCCCAGTATTCATTTCTGCCCAGGGCAGGGGGTCAGACTTGATGATCTGATCAGGTCCCTTCCAACCCTACATCTATTAACCTATGAACATTAAACATGTTTATAAAAAACATAAAAATTAGCAGATATACTCCTTTAGATAAAGAATCCAAAACTACATCAAACTTGTTTTTAAATTATCTTAGATTTCAAGATAGCCATGTGTCTTCAAGTGTTTAGTATGGCTTGTTTTTCTTTGTTAGAATCATCAGCTGCACAGAACGTAAAGGCTCGGCAGGCTGTATCTCGGGTCAGTCATGAGGAGCTAGAAGATCGATTCCTGCGGTTACATGATGAAAACATTTTACTTAAACAACATGCACGAAAGCAAGAGGATAAAATTAAAAGGTTTGAAATGTTATTCTTTTAAGCCAAAATCACATTGGGAGATTATGTGTTTGAAGCCTTAATTATCATTGAGTTAAAGTTGTGTAAAAAGACCTTTTTAAAGTGGATGCCTTAGTTCTTCTAACATTTCCCACAGGACACTTATAGGCACATCTGTGCTCTATGTATCCAGCTTTCTCAACTTGCTCTACTCAGCTTTTTTCCACTTAGAAACAGAACATGGTGCCTGAAAGCAGCAAGCAGAGTTCTTGAGTGACACCTAGTTCCCAGCTACATAGAGATCTCCTGCTGGTATAGAAAAAGACTTTCAGGACTACTGGAATTCTGACACAGCAGAGGTGAAAAATCCAAAAGGGGTAAGAGGGAGGGAAAGGGAAATTAAGGAAGGGAGGGACTGAAAAGAAACAATCAACACATGCAGTGTTAGTGGGGAGAGCGAACAGAAGCCAGTACAACCTTCTCATAGTCCGACCAAAACTAAGTTTGGTAAAAGAAGAGATGTAGAAAAAAAATAAAGATTCCCCATGCTGTTGTGATGGCGGGTATTATAAGTTACTAGGTGAATATTGATCTCTAATCAGCATGCATGTGAAAATGTGATGGAAGATAAAATCATGGAGGAGTTAAAGGGAATACTAGCAGAAGGAGAGAAGAAATGGGGAAAAAAGTAGACCCAGGTAGCTTATAAGAAAAAAAGAAATGGGTAAATCTAGGATGCATCTATACATGTATGTATATATGCATGTGTTCCAGTCAAAAACAGGATTCAAACATAGTAAAGTTAAGGATTGAGATGACACCTCATTCAATTAATGACAGAAAGCCCTTAATAACTATACCACAAATGAGCTGTAAAACTAAATGACAGACACAGGCTCCTTCCAAATATTCAGTAAATGAGCTATCACAAAAATCCTAGTATATGTTAGCTGCAATAGTGTCTCTCACCAATGCAAGCAAGAAGTGGTTTCTGTCTTTGCAGCCTTCACTGGGTGTGGATCCATCACTGAGAATGATCAGTTAGGTGCAGGTTACAATGTTACAGTGATTTCTTTCTCTCTCCTTGAGTAGACATCTTGCCACCAACTGTGGTTTTGTTCTTATACTCTTTAGTTGTATAGCTTCAAAGCATTCCTCCTTGATAGTTGGTTGATTAAAGTGTAAACAGGTAGGGAGGGACCATCATATTACAATTGCTAACTGCTTGGATCCTGTTTTGGGTCATCCAGTTGTAAAACTTGTTTTTGATCAGTCCAGAGGTTACACTTCACTCATAGAGGATGGGTCTTGATTGACTGAATGGAATACCTTGAGGCATTGCTTACAGGACACTGTTTGGGATAGTTGTTTTAACAGTGGGGCAGAACCCAAAATATTCTAAACCGGTGATGGTCTATGGAGACATTTGCAAAACCCCAAATAGACATTGAATGCCTGTTCTGAGAAATATGCTTTGATCAACAGAGGATGTGTCAACAAGTGGGGATACAGACCCATAAGGAGATGCAGTTATTTATGAATGGTTTAGCATAATAAAACATTGGGTATAATTGCAATTAGCACAGGAGATGAAATCAATTGGGCTTCATTTTGCAAGGACCCAGTCACAATCTTGCATTCCTGTGCAAGATGCACTGTTATTTTAATTTAGTCATTTAAATTTCATTTGTAGTTCTTGCCAAGCTTTCAGAGTCATCAGTGTGCATACACACACACACACACACACACACACACACACACACACACACACACACTGTAACTTTATTCGGCATTATTGATTAATGCAGGCATGAGTACACAAGACATAGATTCATAGATTGTAGAGTCGGAAGGGACCACAATGGATCATCATGTCTGACCCCCTGCCCCTGGCAGGAAAGAGGACCAAGGTCAGATGACCCCAGCCAGGTGACTATCTAGCCTCCTCTTGAAGACCTCCAAGCTAGGTGATAGCATCACCTCTCTTGGATGCCCATTCCAGATCCTGGCCACCCTTACTGTGAAAAATTTCTTCCTAATATCTAACCTAAATCCACTCTCAACTAGTTTACACCTGTTATTCCTAGTCTCTCCCTGGGGCGCCTTAGTAAACAGTGCTTCCCCTATTCCCCGTTGACCTCCCCTAATAAATTTACAGGCGGCCACAAGATCTCCCCTCAGCCGTCTCTTGTGAAGGCTGAAGAGATTCAGCTCTCTCAACCTCCCCCCATAGGGTCTATCACAAATAATCATGCAAGTGGCCCTCCTCTGGACCCTCTCCAGATTCCCCGCATCCCTCTTGAAGTGCAGCGCCCAAAACTGGACACAGTACTCCAACTGCGGCCTGACCGATGCAGCATAGAGGGGGAGCATCACCTCCTTTGTTCTATTAGTCATGCACCTGCTAATGCATGACAAGGTGCGATTGGCCTTGTTGATGGCCTCGTTACACTGCCAGCTCATGTTCATCTTGGAGTCATTTATGACTCCAAGATCCCTCTCTGCCTCCAAATTGCTGAGAAGGACACTCCCCAACCTATAGGTGTGCTGGGGGTTCCTCCTTCCCAGGTGGAGTACCTTACATTTATCTTTATTAAATTGCATCCTATTTCTCTCTGCCCATTGATCCAACCTGTCCAGGTCAGCCTGAATCTGCTCCCTGCCCTCCGGTGTACTAACTTTGCCCCATAACTTGGTATCATCAGTGAACTTGTCCCTAAGCCAGTTGGCCACCCACCTGACCATGTAGGCATCCACTCCACAGTCTGCTAGCTTCCCAATGAGGATAGGGTGCGAAACTGTGTCGAAGGTCTTCCTAAAGTCCAAGAAGATGACATCAGCCTCAGCTCCCGTGTCCAGGCAGTCTGTGACCTTGTCATAGAAGGCTACAAGGTTTGTTAGGCAGGATCTACCTGTGACAAACCGTTGCTGGTTTCCCCTCAGTATCGTTTCCCCTGCTGGGCCTGCAAAAATGTGTTCTTTGATTATTTTCTCTAGCATTTTCCCAGGAATAGAGGTAAGACTGACTGGTCTAAAGTTACCCGGCTCATCCCTTCTCCCTTTCCTGAAAATGGGCACCACATTGGCCCTTCTCCAGTCCTCAGGGACCTGACCAGAGCACAAGAAGTGCTTGAACAGCTGTGCCAGCGGCTCAGCTATGACACTGGTCAATTCTTTCAGCATCCATGGATGGAGGTCATCCGGGCCTGCTGACATTTACTGCAGTTGTTTAATTAGCTCTGTAGTAAATGTCTTGGTGTCTACACATGCAGTGCTATTAAGACAGAGTAAACTAATTAATCAGCCTGTGCGAAATGGCAAGTATTTGCTTTGGATTCGAATTCAGCCGATTCAGAGGACAGTGATTCAGTTCGGAGATTCAAATCACCATTCCAATTCGATTTGGCAGAATCAGATCCAAAAGATTTGGCGCCACTTTGGATATTCAGCCATAGACTAAACAGGCAGCTAACACAGCTGCCTCCAACTAGTAAGTTGGCTGGGGTTGGGGGAGCGGGGAGGGAAGGAGGGAGGGATTGGGGCTGGGGCTGGGGCTGGGACAAGCTGCCCAGCCAAGCCAGGGGGCAGTGTTACTCAGGGAGGGGGGCGGGATGTGGGCTCAGCAGCACTGGGAGCGGGGACTCTGCCCCGCTGCCGTTTACCCACCTGGAGCAGAGAGTGGGGCAGAATGCAGGCACAGCTCCCTGCAGGTGAGGGGGCAAGCGACAGAGGGCATAGTCCTCGCTCCCAGTGCTGCCACACCCACATCCTGCACCGGCTGGGCAAGTGGTGGCAGGGCAAAGCCTCCGCTCCAAGTGCTGATGCTAGGGCTATGCCCTGTTGCCGCTTGCCCTCTTAGGCCCAGAGTGAGCTGCGCCTATATCGCCGCCCTCTCCCCCCTCCCTGCCCTGGCTAGGCAAGCGGCAGCAGGGCATAGTCCCCGTTCCCAGCACTGCTGCACCCTCATCATCACTTGGAGTGGGGACTCTGCCCTGCTGCTGCTTGCCAGCCCACACAGGAGAATTGTCACTGCCACCACTTGCCAGTTGGCATGGCCAGGCACAGGATGTCAGCACAGCAGTACTGGGGGTGGAGGCTATGCCCTGCTGCTGCTTGCACCCTTCTGCCCGGAGTGAGCCGTGCCTGCATCCCACCCCCCACACCGCCCCAGCTGGGCAAGCG